GCCTAACATACAAGGGTTAATGGAGTTGACCGGTTTGACTTGTTGACTTTGTTTGACTTTGACTTGAGCGAAAGTTGACGGTTGTCACATCATCCCCCGTTAGAGGGAATTTCGTCCCGAAATTAACACCAGTTAAAGAAGAAAAAAAAGCTATATGATTTTACTCTCTAACAAGCTTACATGGTTTTCAGGATCAATATGCAGACTCACTTGCAATATATTTTGCAGAGGATCCCAGTCGTTGTCCTTGGGAGCAAGGTTTGTTCTCATTTCCATGTTCATCTATTTCTTTGTTCCAAACTACTCTAAATGTAATATCATTGATAAATAAGACCATAGTTCATGAGCTATAAACATAATCAATTACTCCTAAATTTCATACACCTACTCGAAATCTAATGAAAAGATATAAACATAATAAAGTGCTTCTTGAATCAGATGGACTGCAAATGTTGCTGACAGAATTCTTGTCTGAATGAAGGAAAATTAGAATCAATTTAATTGTTTAAAAACACATCCATTTTTAATAAATATGTTTGAATAATGAATATGATATTGAAAGCAATAAAATAATAGGATAAGGCAAAATATTAGTATAAGTTGAGTTTACTTACAATGAAAGGAAAAAATGCAATCCAAAAATATGGGTGCTCATATTTCTACTGCATATTTTTATTCATCCACTTGAAATTAGAGTTTTTTTTTAATTTTTTGTCCTTTTTAATTAAAAAAATAAGAAAAGTGAAAGACAGAGAAAAATCCAAACGTTAGTTCTTCCTTTCCTTGGACGCATCTTCCAAAGACGAAAGTGGTGTTTGAGAATCTTTTAAAATGACTTTTAAGACTTTTAAGTTTTTCAAAAAACTAAAATTTTTTAAAGATGTTTGGCATTTCAAAAAATTCTTTTAGATCTGCTTTTTGTAATAACAAAAATAAGTTGTTTCAAAAGTCATAATTTATGACTTTTTTTTTTTTTTTTTAACTTTTGGCTTTTAGATTTTGAATAGTCAAAACATAAACCAAACATATTTTAAACTTTTCTTTTGTAAAAAACCAAAAAGTTAAAAAGGAATTTTGTAAAAAAAAAAAAAAAAAAAAAAAAAACTTTTGCCGAAACCCCGATTTCTTGTGGCCGTTCAAGAAGCAGGACACGCTGCTTCTTTTCCGTTCACCGGTCGCCGTTGCTTCTTCCAATTCGCCTGCCTCCCTTCTGAATCGATTCCCAGGATCAGAATACACCTCAATAAAACCGAGACCCACCCCCGACATATGCTCTTGCTGTGTGTGCAGGTCTATATCTTCATCTTTGCTTCGCTTCTTGATGGCGTGAATGGACTGAACAGGGAACCTGTTGATGAAGGCTTCTCAAAGAAGACGATGGTGATTAATATTTGCGATAGTGATGGTGGCTGGGATGTAGAAGATGATCGACCGAAAGAGAGATACGGTAAAGGTGAATGGTGATGCAGACGATCTGTGGTTAGACATCTCCTATCGACAACTAATTTTGACATTTGTGCTTCTACCTAGTGCTCTGTGTTCTTTCCTCCATCACATGTCACATGTGTCATCCCTTTGATTTGGTTCATTTTGTTCGTGCATCATCTATTGTAGCTGTATATTAATGCTTCAAACAAAAATGAAATTGTCGGATAATTAGGATTTTGCCGGTGGTGTATTACCCATTTTGGGATGAAAACCCAAAGCACTATGAAGAAAGTGGGTTTCTTCATAGTATTACTGTATTGTTAATAACACCGTTTTAGTGTTTTTTTTTTTGGAGGTTGTGGTTGAGATGTAGAAGATAATCAGCTGAAAGAGAGGTATGGTAAAAGTGAATGGTGATACAGGCGATATGTGATTAAGGATAACAGCGGCAGCATATTAACCCATTTATCTCTATTTCATATTTTTTATAAACTATCAATAAGGACAAGGGCAAAAAGGTCAAAATGCTTTAATTTCAAGTGCATGGAGAAAATAATTCAGTGGAAATATCAGGTCCCCAAAAATATGTATGTTAAGGATCATAGCAATATCTAACCTATAATATATCAACATACTTACCTTTTTACACTTAATAAAAACATAGTTTCTGGTTCTTTTCCTATAACAACAAGGTACAGCATATTGAACGGATTTACAAAGCTTTGTATGATTGCACCAATGGGGGTTATGGTAAATTGATATATACCATAAAAGAAATAATCAATTAATTAGGAAAGGATATGTGATTAGTAGTTAAAAAGGGTGTAGATAGAATGCGAATATATGATAAAATGCGTAATATCAACAAAAGAAACGGCAACATAGGAAATTAAAATGTGTAATATCAACAAAAGAAACGGCAACATAGGAAATTTTCTTTAATACGGATTTATAATGGAACTAAAACATTAAGTAAATCAATTAATTACAAAACACAACAAATTGACATCTAGATTTTTTTATAATAATAAAAACAACAACAAATTTATATGTGGCATATTGAAGTAGAAATTGACAAGTGATAAAAATAGGTTTTATTTATTAGAATAGATGTTCCATGTAAAAACTGCAAACATTAAACTCCCAATACCAAATATTCACAACCAAATAATCGGTTTTAACAAAAGTGCATATTGGCGATAGCTTCAATGTCTGCTTTGGTTATGGTAACACCCTCCCATACGACATTATTAATCTCCTTGATTCTTTCCTCAATCTCCAACATGTGAATCTTATGATCAATTCCCTTGTCCCATAACTTGTTAGCCTGTTGAGAGTAAATTATCAAATTTAGTTA